GGGAAGTGGTGCTGGACTGCTTGGGCACTGGAATAATAGTGGCAGATTTAAGGCAGGCTGGTACAACAGCATGTGCCAGTGAGAGATGTAATATATCTGTAAAACATCTGCAAGCTGATGCGCACAATCTCAGAGGACCCTGCCTGGGATTCCATCTGGTCCAGCTGGCTTCTTGGCATTTGTTGCTCTCAGGACTCACTTAACCTGATGCGTCTGAAAAGTGAGCAAACAGTCCGCAGAGTCCAGCTGTGGTAAAGCTGCATCGTCCGATTCTCTCACAAATCTGGCAAAGAAGCAGCTCAGTTCCTCAGCCAGCGTGATACTACTTGCTGTCATAGGGTCTCTGCTGCCCCCGAAGTTGTTTATATGATGCATACCCTGCCACATGCGTGTTGAGTCCCTAGAGGTAAAGTGATCCTCGATCTTCTCTTTATATGCAGATTTGATTAATTTGATCCCTTTCTTGAGGTTGTGCCTAGAAACGCTGTACAGTTTTTGTTGCCAGATCTAAAAGCTGCATTGCGATCTTTCAGGAGAAGTTGAACCTCCCATCTGCAAGCTGATGCGCACAATCTCAGAGGACCCTGCCTGGGATTCCATCTGGTCCAGCTGGCTTCTTGGCATTTGTTGCTCTCAGGACTCACTTAACCTGATGCGTCTGAAAAGTGAGCAAACAGTCCGCAGAGTCCAGCTGTGGTAAAGCTGCATCGTCCGATTCTCTCACAAATCTGGCAAAGAAGCAGCTCAGTTCCTCTAGTTGCTGAAAGCAAACTAAAACGTCAGTAACAAACAAGGACCAGCCCGTGCGGTAGAGGGTTAAATGACAATAACATATTCACATAATAAATTCAAATGGAAATGAAAATCATACCATTCCGATAGCACATGTACATCACAGAGACGTCTGCATTTACATCTGCAAGACATATTGATTAGTGTTTGCTCATCTGCAATATGTCTATAGGATGTTTCCTATCAGATATCAAATAGATGTTTATGATTTATGACATCTTAAAGACGTCTATCAGATGTTTGTACACAGCAGATGATTTCCAGATGAAGCGATCTCTAACAGACATCTTGAACAGTAGCTAGGAGTACTAGTTAGTTACTTACAAGTGAAAAGGTTTGAGTTTAATAACAAAAAAAATGTATCCGTTTCATAAAAAAATATATATATTTAATTATCTAACGGTCAACACTTTATAGTGAGTTTGATCATAATTCCACTTAAATGCAGTCTTGTATATCAGTTTTGTTTTAGTTTTTTTTTTATTTGTTTGAAATTCATTTCAGAGCTAGTCTGTTTGGTTCAAGGTTTAGAACTCTTTGTTGAATATTCTTTTATAATTCAAAAGTTTCGTAAACTGGGATTCAAGCTGTTAAAAACAATCAGCCAACATAAACACTCACTAGTAACTAGGGTTTTACACAATGTTATACAATAACCACTCTGCAAGGTGTTTTTGGACTTAAGTCAGTCAGACAGTTAAGTCACTCTAATAATAATAATAATAATATTTTGTACTGCCCTAACTATAGGCCATTCTGCTCGGATACAGAAACAAATTCCTTGTTTTGAGGCAGTTATGAATGCACAATGCCCTCTTCTGTTCAGAACGCGAACAACATTGAGCATTTATATATTTAATTGAATTAAACACACATTTACTCTACCAGTCAAAGGTTTGGAGTTGCTGGTGGGGGGGGGATACTAATAAAGAATAGTAAAGTGTACCTATGTGTCCAAACTAAGAGACTGCTAGACCTAGAGTCTACATTACATAGATTACCAATGACAATAAGAAGAAGCTGCAAAGATAATTTATTTCCAGTGTTGTTGTTTTTTTATTCTTTGCAGCTGGGAGTCACACACATGAGCATTCAGAGGTAAGATGGAATCCGCACACACAAGTATGATAGCATGCATACTCTCCCGAGGAATCACATGCTGTCTACTACACTGGTTAGCTCGGACAAAAATGTGTGACTTTTTGACAAAGGTAACATACACAAAAAAATATACACATTTAACTTATTGCCCCATTAAAAGACCAGGGTATCCAGTGGCAAAGCACGTGATGACTTAAAACTATGACTTATAAAGCAGTGGAAGCTCTGGGTCTGCTTTTGCATCGTTTTGTATAAAAATTTATTTTTCTTTTTTTTCTGATAAAATTCAGTCATTCATTCACAATACATATTCTATATTAACAAACAACAAAATTAAGAAATGGCACCTTTCCTGTCACCAGAACCAGTTGAGAGGCACTTTTTTTTGTAAGGAAATAGTATTCCTTGTGATTTTATGACTTATTTGCTGTTAGGTTGTACTTTGCATTAAAATGGTTCAACATGCCAATACCAGTAAGCCTGGTACTGCTACATATGTTCAGGCTCTGGTGCTTTCAGTTTAGCACTTACTTTCACAATGTCCTGTGGAAATATAAAAGATTTCATTCTTCTTCCACATTTATGTCTGGCTGTTATGATGCACTGTAAAAGAGATTTCCACAGCACACAGCTCAGAAAACAGCCCATATCAAGGCTAACCTTCAGACTAATAATAATAATTAATAATAATAATAATTAAAAAAATACATTTTTTTCACTAATGAAAACTGCAACAAGCAATTTACGTGTTAGTCAATATAACAGCAAGCATATTACATCCTTCATATGAGCAATATCAGGAGTTTTCTTTTTTTTATTTTTTTTTTTTATTTTGTCCTAACCTTGGATGAGATGCCTTTTCTTTTCCTTTGATATTAGTATCCTTCAGTAACAGTTTCGCAAATGCATGTCTGTCCAAGTCAGAAAAATTGTGCTCTCGCAGCAGCAGAGGCAGTCGGTAAACACTGGTATTGTTCAGCCTCTGAATAGCAGGCCACTTCACCGTCATGCATATATTACTAGCTTTCAAGAAAACAACTCCAGTACTGATCCACAAACAATGAGTCAGGTAACTCAAAAATGTTAAAATTACTCCAGTTACTTTTTATAAGCCTATACATATAGATATATACAATTTATATTTATAATATATATTCATATTTAAAAAAAAGGGCATGGAGATGGAAAATAAGGGTGGAGTAACCTTAGCTCTAACTACACTCATTCAGTTTAAGGCCTGTTCATCCCAACATGCATGTTTGGTACGAAAATTCATCCTAATTTTCACATACAACTTGTCTTTTCAGACCAGTACATACAAAACTTCAGAGAGGTTGAATGAATATGCAAATGCACTCTCTGACAGGCGCTTATAGAAAAGCAGAAATACCCTGGTCAGCCTGGTGACCCCGATACACAAAGCGCTGTGCAACTTTTCTGACACCTGGTTGTAAGAGAAAGAAAATCAAATACTATTTACAAGATTTAAAACAGCCATTTAGATTTTTGTATTCGCTGTGGTGCTTATCCAACAAAACCAAATAAAAGAGTACAGAGACGATAGATCTGGTTACGGATTCTTATACTATTCACTGCCATTTAGCAAGTCACTTTATGTAACGGCGGCTATAGGCATGCCACAAAAAGTGCAAATCTTACTGGTTGGCCAGTTTTCTTCACAGTGTGATGGAAAAGTGATTTGTTGCATGGATGGCATGCAAATGTTCACGTGGGTCTAAACAGATGCATTAACAGTTTGTGTCTGTGAAATGTGAAAATGCACAGAATTTTCACACCAAACATTCACCTTGGTTTGAACAGGCCTTTACACACACATTATGACATTCTTACACACATGCAGATTATTCTTTTCTTTTAAAGATATTGGTAGAATCGTGAGCGCACCACTTGGGCTCCTGACAATTTTTGTGGATGAGCATCAGCTCCAGAATTCTGACTGTTTCTGGATTTGCCCTTTGACGCACCTCCGTTTACTTGTTCGGAGCTGGACTGTGGACATGGAGAGGCAGAGGGAGACAGTCTCTCAGCACTCTCTGAATGGGTCTCTTCCATTTTTGCTGTCTCTAAACCATCTTGACCTTTCAACTCTAAACTGGCCTGGGAGCCCTCAGTTTGACGATGCTCACGAGCAATCCAGTTCCGGACAGACATGTCCTGAGAGACACACTTGGGTTTGAGGCACTCCACAGCAGACAGTTCGGCACCTTGGTCCACCCCACCCTGTTCCCTCCAGTCATGAATGACATCTAGTTCAGCAAAATCCTGCTGGCCACCCATAGTATGCCGTCGGCGGATGCCCTTTTTCTTACCACGCATCTCCGTAGAGCGGGTCTTTTGCGTGCCAACACCGAACATGTCATCGGCAGAGGCACGTAGACGGAACTTGAGTCTCTCTGTGATTTTAAGATGCCACGCTGGCTCAACGCGGTCCGATTCAGTACGCAATGAGGCACTCAGGTTGCCGGTGGAACGGCCACTCTTCATCACCTCCAGAACTCGAGACAGTCTATTTGATTCATTCTTGCTGACCCCTTGATTGCCACCACCAGCGCCTGCCTCCACAGATGAATCACTGTCCGTCTTTTGTCGCTGGGATCGCCTCCTGGGCAGAGAGTTGCATTCTATCAGCTTATGGGAGGGCAGCAAGCGGCAAGCTAGTTTGGGTGTACTGTTGCCGCCATCTTCTGTGGTTGGTATGTCTAGTCCAGTGATGCCAGAGCTAAACATTGGGAAGTCACTCTCGCTGTCGGTTTCCATCGGCCGCCCCTCACTGATGAGCTCACTGCGCTCGTCATCTGCCTCGTCTCCTCCCCGGCTTTCTGCCACAGACTGCACCTCTGGACTTAATGTGATGGACTCCACTCCTGTCAGAAAGGTGGTAGAGGAAGTGGTTGAGTAGTCAGACGTAATAGAGCTCACCTCTGCAGTTAGCGAAGCCCCTCCAGGAGCGGGTAATTGCTCAGGGGCGGGTGATGTTGTGCACCATTTCCGAGGTCTGGTTCTGGGTACGGAGGCTCCAGAGCTCATGGTACCCAAGTCTGAGGTGGTCTCATCTAACTGTGAGGAAGGATCTGATTGGGTGGATCTGGAAGGACCAGAGGTGCGGCGGTTGTAACCAGGTGAACACGAGAGCTTGGGCGAGGGGGAGAGAGCTGAAGAGGGTTTGTCTTTCATAAAGAAAGAGTTTCTGTGCTCCTTCTTGTTCTTCGGGGCGGACTCTGCACTTATGCTGTTCTTCTTCTCTCCAACAAGTGATTTTCCGCATGGATTTGACCTGCCTGCCACCTCCTCCTGGCTTTGGCGGTTCTGCTTTTGAGTTGGGTTATCTTTCATGGTGAACATGATATCAAGGTCGTCATCAGAGCTGCTGGGTTGCAGCTTCTCCTTGTGCTTCTTTCGTTTGCGGTTGGCCGCAGCAAAAATGGAGGAGACTCGTGGCTGAAGGAACTCGCGGCTGCAGTGGTCCTTCCCTGATCCCCAGGAGCCCTGGACAGAAAGAGAAAACAAGAGTGACAGATTCAGTTGAAGGGAAAACAAAACCTTGTAAACCAAAGAGCCATAAAGCACTAAGGCCTAGCAAGAAAACATGGAATAAAAAGCCCAACCGCTGCCATTGCAGGTGGATAACCCAGAGTACTCCACCTGCTTCTCTGATAGCAGCACAAATCAGAGGTTGAAGGACTGAACATAGAAAGAAACATTAGAGACAGTCACAGAGCTCCAAATGAGGCCTCTTTTTTTTTTTGAACAGCCACATAGCACAAGCAGCACCCGCAACACCAACAGCACTAGCACATGGAAAAAGCTGCATGGGTTGCATCTGAAAACAAAGCTGGAGCTAGATGACAGAAAAAGGGATGGAAATCTTAATCCAGTTAACACTACTTCTAGTACTTTTAAGGAAGCACCAAATATTTGAGTCTAACTACTTTGTATGATATATTGTATTGTGTTTTTTTTTGGATTATAAAATGTACTAAACAAAAACAATACTATTTTTGCAACATACTTTAACTTTCCTAAAGTTTATTACAACAACGTATTCCCAATGTTTATCTTCATATTAGAAGACACATTGTCATATTGTCATACGAACAAAAAATATGGTTGACGTACTTTTAAGGAAGCACCAAATATTTGAGTCTAACTACTTTGTATGATATATTGTATTGTGTTTTTTTTTTATTATAAAATGTACTAAACAAAAACAATACTATTTTTGCAACATACTTTAACTTTCCTAAAGTTTATTACAACAACGTATTCCCAATGTTTATCTTCATATTAGAAGACACATTGTCATATTGTCATACGAACAAAAAATATGGTTGAAATGTGATGACTTCATTCAGTGAATGTCTGTCAGATATTAATTCAGTAAGTGACAGGCTGTTTGAAAGGTTGATTCATTAGACATTAGATCCAAGCTTATACATTAGAACCAAGTTTATACATTGGCCATTCAAGAACTGTTAACAGAGCCAAACAGCATGTAGATACTTTGCTTGCAGTATTTTGTAAAACACGGTTCTCGATTCCCACCCCTAGGCAGAGATGCTTAGTGCACCTTTTAGCAACATCTAATTTCCCTGTTACACTGAATGCAGTGCATGTTCAAAGCATGGCATGATGGCCTCTGATCCATCTGTCCAGTCTCTTCAAGATGGAAACTGGCTCTCAGGTGCTGGACTGGGAGTGGTGGAGTGTGTCAGCCTGGTGCAAGAACTACACTCACCCACTATACCTGCCCTATCAGAGAAGTAGCCGCGGTCCAAGAGTCAAACTCACCTTAGATTTAGCAGAGTCACTGGTTGGTGAATCTGTGGAGTAAAGAAAAATGATACATGGTTAGTGGCTTGCACATGTCCTTCTACTGATCTAAAAATAAATAAATAAATAAACTGATATACAGACAGTAGGTGATAAGCAGAGAAACATGCATGAAGAAAGGGTGTGCATGACGATGAGAGCATGGCAAACAATGGGAGAGGAATGACAGGGAGTATGCATGCATGGCAAATGAATGGGAGAGGAATGGCAGGCGTGCATGCAAACGAACGAGTGAGTGCTGTTTTATCGTAACGCTCACATACATATTCACCAGTAGGGGGCAATATTTCACGAGACCATCCAGCAAACACAGACAATATGGTAATATGAATCTGGTACAAAAGGAATTTTTGTGGTTGCAAAAGAGATCAGCTGGACTTGATTAACCTTTTTATGAAGGAATAAATGCAACTAATAGGATGCATGGAGAGTGACACAAGACCACAGAGTACACACAACGATGAGGGTCTAGCAGGCAGTGTCACTGAGTGACATTTATATTATATGACCTATATGAAAATCTGTAACCATCTGATTCTGACATACTAAGATCCTTAGAAGCAAATATACAGAACCTATAATGACAAGAGGAAATCAGAGAGAAATGTAATTCTCTATAAATTTTAAGTAGTATAATTTACAATACAAGTATAATTTTAAGTAGTCAGCATAATACTGGGTCCAATACAAGTTAAACCCATTTGTGACATTCTGTCAGTTGCAACAGCAAATTTTGACTTGTCTTTCAGTAAAAAAAACTGTTAACATTAAAATATACTTCAATCAGAAAACAATGTGGCTAAATATACAACCAAAAGTTGTTCTGTATATAACAGAAGCACTAATAACAGGACCATAATAACACATTTTTATAAAGTAGATTTAATATAAGAGCTTCAACAAAAATAATGTTTCACATACCTTTAAACACCGCTAAAGACTTCAGTTCTTAGTGCATTACTGTACATTTTTTTCAAACAATTCAAAATTATTTTCTGCATGTCACAGATGCAGTCCACACAGCTCAACTTGTTTTGAGCCTGGATGTTCCTTTAAAGGGGTCATATGACGCGATTTCAAGTTTTCCTTTCTCTTTGGAGTGTTACAAGTTGATTGTGCATAGATAAGATCCCTGAAGTTGCAAAGACTAAAGTCTCAAAACCAAAGAGATATTCTTTATCAAAGTTAAGACTCTGCCACACCCCTCTAAAATGGCTCGTTCTAACCCGCCCCCACATATCTACCTCACTATATGGAAATATTTGCATAATGCGGCCCACATGTGCAGGCAAAGAAAGAAGGCGTGGTTTCAGGAACAGCAGTTAGTGTTGAAGCAGCATGTCAGACTGCGCTTGTCAGAAGGAGGGACTTTGTAGAAAACGAAGCGTTTGAGAGAGGCGGGGCATATAGGACCTACAATAATGTACAGTATTTGAAAAATAATGTGTTTTTTGAACATTAAAGCATGTCAATATATTCTGATACACCAAATACACAAAATAATGATCTTTAAAAAAGCATCATATGACCCCATCAATTCTACAGCCCTTTCCACTCTGAGCACAAGTACAATGTGTGTAATTCAGAAATGGATATTTAATGACAGTGCTGAGGCTGGTCTGATGTGTTCTGTCATGACCACAATGAAGACGAGACACTTGAGGCATGAGCCAAGCTCAGATGTGACAGGGGTCAGAGAGGGGCTAGCTACGTAGAAAAGATGACATTATGGGAAGACAGAATGGCAGCAAGGAAAAGTTAAACAACTGATTCACTGCTGTCTTTGCTCCCATTTCATTTTCCATGGCAAAGACTGCACATTTTGGAGGCTTATTTCTTCTCTGTCGAGCCGAGCCCCCCTGCACACCCCTTGATGGTGACAAATGGTATGACCGAGTGAAATTCAGAGCCGAGTAGCATTACCATGCTGTCTCTCCGTTTGGCCAGCATTCAGAGAGAGAGAGAGAGAGAGGGGGGCGAGAGATGGCGAAGAGCCTTTGAGACAGCAGCACTGCTCTACGCCAGGTAAGCTCACAAACCACACCCCACAGAACCCAACACTTCTGCTGCGCTTTCCCTTTGCACTTTTTTGTTCTCTTTTCTCAATCGCCCATGTCATAAAATGCGAGGGTGTCTGCAGACTAGGCAGCTACACTGCGGGCAACAGTCCTCCCTCTTCCTACAGTTCCAGCTGCCCATCACGGACACTATCGAGTCCATCAGTGACATCAAGGTGTGATAGACTCCGCCCACTTGTCCTGTGTCAAGATCAGTATGTGAGAATGCTGGGAAAGCCTTTAGGACACACGACAGAGGGGCACTAGGGACAGAGGGATCAGAGATTGGCAAGCGTGTTTTGCGACTTGGCTTTAGCTATTTGTTTGTTTTCTCTTGGAGAAAGAACATGACGTGTTAGTGCAGCAGTTGGCAGAATTACAGAGATGACCCAGTGGAGTTTGAACGCGCAGAGAAAGACACACTAAACGGGTGAAGAGATAATTTTTGTTTTTTTGGGTCTGTGGGTGGGGGGGGGGGGGGGATATCAACCGGCCATGTCTTTGACAGGTTTTGTGAGATTCATACAAACATGACAAATACGCAAAACAGAAAAGGGATAAAGACAGAAAGTTAATTAAAATTAAATCAGTTAAAGAATGGAAAGTGAAAATCAAAACCAAATAATTCAAGGTCACACCAAGTGAGCTAATGTAGGCAAAAAAGTGCACAAACTCACACAGGCTTTGTAATTAAGCCATAGCACAGTTTTTGTTTAAAAACATAGGGAGACACTGCTTCTGTTCTCAGAAAAGCAAAGCATTTTTCATTAATATAAAAAAAAAAAGCTGAAACATTATTATAGGTTTTTTTTAGCTCATGTGTGCTCTAGACATAATTATTATTTGCAGAAGGGTCTAAAAGTTGAACCCCTGTCAGAGAGGGTCCAACCAAGGGCACATGTTACCTGACACTTCCCCTGGAGAGGTGCCCGTCCGGCCGATGTTGGTCAGCAGGTGGTCAATGTTAGGCACAGGCTGAGACTCCACAGCACTCTCCTCCTGAGTGACATACAGAAAAAACATATCAATGAAGAGTTGCGGCGAGAAACTAGATTTTTAGTGGATGCAAAATTCGCCTCCACAATGCAAGAGCACATCCACAGTTATGGATGAGATAGACTCAGTAGTTTAAGGGTTAATTAGGGTTAGGGGTGTGTTCAAATCCCTGATGCCTACCTTAGCAAACACATCTAAAAAGGAAATAAAAAAAAAAAAGCAGCTGTACTAATACACACCGTAGGCTCCTTGTCACTCTCATCAGTGAAGAACCAGTCGTACTGCAAGAGAACACCAGACTGCATTCAGAATTATTTTTACCAATGCTCAAATACCTGACACATTTGAGAGAGGTGTTTTCTTTCTACACAAGTAGATTAAAGAACTCACATGCTGAATGAGCGTTTCTACAATCTTGTACTGGTCTGGCATATGTGTCACCATGTGAGTCATATTGTCTTCAGATGTTCTCACCAACGTTGGGCCAAACACAATGGCCAGATTCCGTGGCTCCATCTGACACAATGACAAATGAGCAAGATGAGACATTTCTCTCTTTTATACAGTGGGGCAAAAAAGTATTTAGTCAGCCACCAATTGTGCAAGTTCTCCCACTTAAAAAGATGAGAGAGGCCTGTAATTTCCCTTATATATATATATATATATATATATATATATATATATAAAAGGGAGTGTTCACACAGAAAATATGTGACCAATGCACCACTTGTTACTGTTTTGTTTACTTTATTCATTCCTGTTCTTATTGTGTACAAATCATCAGTGCACATTATTATACAGTAACTTGCTCTGCTTTAGGTTGATGTCAACCAAGCTCTTCCCTCCAACCACATATGGCCATCCAATCAATTTTTGATCGATAAAATCAAGTCCCACCACTTCTGAATATCTCACTTCACTCAAAAAATAACAACTAAAACAAGCTGCAAACTTCATTGCATGTTTACTTTTAAAAAAGAGCTTCAAATTAAATATCCGGATCGCTGAAAATCTGGAAAAAAGCTTGAAAACATGTCTCGAGAGCCCTGAATTATGTGTTCTGTTCTCTTCTGTTGCACGTCATCTTGTTGTTTTTGAACGGAAGCGCACATTCTGTGTGTACATCCCTGTGGGCTACCAGAAATGTTTTACCTTGTTCTTTTCCGAGTTTTCAGCCACAGTTTTGAGATGTGCGGAGAGGAACTTCAGTGTTTCGTAATGATGATCAGGCAACTCATGAAGCTGAAAAATGAGAGGTTTATTTAGGGTTGCCATAACAAACAGTGACATTATTACCACTATTAACAAATGGTAATTAGATAAACAGCTTCTTACCAGTCTTTTGAACACTTTGAGTCTCTCTACAGGATCCTCTATTCTGTTGGCATCAATAAAGTCTGCATACTTCTCTATAGAGCCCAGATCATGAAGGAAAATCATTTCAGCTGTCAGGTACTGAAATTACATGTCTATTTCACTCACAACCACTAGATGGAAAACTACACAATTCATGTTGAGCAATTGCAAGATATATAAATAAAATATGAGTCATAAAGAGCCTCAAGCAAGGGACTTCCAACGAGGACGTTTACCGTTAGTGAAGAGGGGTTCAGGAAGTTTCCTGAAGAAGGATTTGAGTAAACTGCTGATCACATTCAAGTCCTTCCATTTCTGTCCAGGAACACAGAATTTATTTTTAAAAATATGAAAAAGGACCTCCAGCAGGAAGCAGAGAAAATGATACGGACACCTGAACTAGATGCTCACAGACAGATATATACACTCACATCATCCTGAATATTGATGTCGCCCATGCCCTTGTTATTGAGCTCTTCCTGCATGATGGAGATGGCGGCATTATTTCCTGGCACTCTGTAAATGCCAGTGTATTCCAGTCCTTGTTCTTCCACCAGCTTACAGCACACTTCAACTATCAGAGGAACAAACTAAAACACACAAAGAACGGTCACATGCCTGCAAGCCAATCTAAACCGGCATGCCATATGAATGCGTGTTGCTTACACAGACAAATATTACTCCAAAATCAGCAGTATGAAAAACGTAACAGGTTCCAATGCAATTACATTCATCCCACAAACTAAACAATTACTCTTTAAACATTATTAAACACCTACAGCTAAAAATATCACTATTGTCGAGAGCTCACTCCCTTCAGAAAAAGAAGTGTGCTTAATTGTACGAAATGTGCACCTGTAGTGTAAAAACAATAAAACAAAACAAAAAATAAAAAACGACAGATAATAAATTAAAGATTTCAAGACTACATAAGTGTGCTTAAATAGAGTACACTTTCATGATCGTCTTTCTTAACACACTTAGGTACACTTTTAAAAAGTGCACTTTGTGGTGATGTAAAATTCATTAATTTAAAGGGGTCATATGATGCGATTTCAAGTTTTCCTTTCTCTTTGGAGTGTTACAAGCTGTTCGTGAATAGATAAGATCCCTAAAGTTGCAAAGACTAAAGTCTCAAACCCAAAGAGATATTCTTTATCAAAGTTAAGACTCGTCCACACCCCCCTAAAACGGCTCGTTTAAACACGCCCCCACATATCTACGTCACTCTGTGGGAAGATTTGCATAACGCCACCCAAATGTTCATGCAAAGAAAGAAGGTGTAACTTTGTCCCCACTGGATGCAACAAATGCCTCGTTTATAAGGGGTTTTATTGGTTTTGTCTCGTCACACGGCATCACAGTATGGTAAGGGGCGTAACATTTCCATCACACGCTTGAGGTATTCGGCCAATCACAATGCACTGGATAGCTGGCCAATCAGAGCACACCTCGCTTTTCAGACCGATGAGCTTTGTAAAAATCGACGCATTTCAGAAAGGTGGGGCACAGAGGAGAAACAATAATGTACAGTATGTGGAAAATAATGCTTTTTTTAACCTTAAACCGCATAAACACATTTCATTAGAGCAAATACACAAAATAATGTTATTTTTTAGCAACGTCATATGACCCCATTTAAAGTACATTTTAATCATTGTTTTAATCATTGTGCTTTATAGAAGTACACTTATTTTGATGTGTTAACTAGCATGCTAAAGCACATGTAAAGTACTGGATTATAGATTTAAATGTAGTTTGTTATTTAGTATTGGATTTAAAGTTAGTATATTTTAAATGCAATAAATTGCAACTTCATTATTACAAATGTGTCATTACACATTTATTAACATAAAAGTTTCAATATAAATGGTCGAAGTATATTGTAGTTTACCATAAATACCTGTCAGTACATTCAAAAGTATACTTTAACTATATTTCATAGACAATAGAATAAGAAAATGACATATAAAGACATATTATACTATAACAGTAAATTGGTAAAAAAAAAAAAAAAATCAGATAAATGCATTTATTATAAAGTTAAACTATAATCTATATTCCTTTACAGTGCCCAACAATATTATATTCAGTTAGCACTTAAGTATATTAAAGTATATTACACTTTTAAAGTGTATTATACTTCTTTTTCACAAAGGACAGCTTTAGGATGTCACTGAAATCAGCAATGCCAAGTGAAACAGCGAGAGAAAGAGAGAGGATGTTCTTTGTGGTCTTACTCTGTTGGTCTGAGCTGGAGGACAGTCATCAAGTCTTACTCCAAATGTGATTGCATGAGATGATTTCTTCTCAAATGGCTTTCTCATCAGTCCAGGGATGCCCTTCCGCCATGTGCCCTTATCCTTGGGTGGGCTGGTTTCATCTATTCATAGACAACCATAATAATAATTTGTCACAGAGACCCTAGTCTCAAACATAGTGAGCTATATATCTTCTAAGAGAGCACCCTACCCAAAAGGAAACTCACAGATTGATTAGGCACTAACCAACAGCACTAATGAAATTACTTGTGACTCACTTACAGTTGATTACAGTTTGATGTTAGCATGTTGTTAAGCAAAATACTCTAAGCACAAAAAAATACTTAACATACACAAGCACTGTAATGATACTTTAATGTACTGAATAAAATACAACGAGTAAGTGTCCTTGATGCTGTTACCTTTATGCATGGCTTTCCTGTCTTGGTCCTTGTTTGGTGAGTGAGGGCTTGTGGTTTTATTCTCCCCTTTACCACCAAGTAACGTCTGCCTGATGCTTAGGGACTGACGGGAGGCCCTGGGTGAGGGTTCTGTCTTACTGCTCGGTGGACTGCAACACACAGAAACCAAGTCAAGATCTAGAAGTGGAAGAAGACTACACAATATGATGAGGACACTTCCCTGTTTCCTGCTTACCTCATTAGAGTGTTGTACTCTTTTATTTTCCGGTTGATGAGGTCTGTGCTAGTTACAGTTGCATTCTACAGAAGGAAGAAGGAAAGAGAGAAACGGCAGACAAAAGCTGGTGTCAGACGAGTGGATGAAATATAAGAGTGGAATCCCCAAACACACCAGAGGGCTTGTGCATAACCCAGTGCTGAAAGAAGACAGACGATGACGTGCTATAGTGTAGATGCCATGGGTTTTTCTGAAAAGTTACTATTTATTTTCAAAAAAGCCCTAGGTTATGTTCAGCTATTGTAAGAAGGTTCTTTAAATAGGGACTCTTTCCATGATTCATGAGGAAGTCCAAAACATTCTCCATATCTATATCAGGCACTAGACCTGGATAGACTTACCTCATAATTCAAAGATGAAATGTGGATTGTGTACCACTTACGTCACTAAACGAAACTGCAAAAGTAATGATTGTTTCATTTTTAAAAACAGGTTTCCCATCTGCCATTGGTCTACCAACAGACTGTTCCACCATAAAACCCATGGCAACGGCTGAGCCAATGTTAAGTCAAATTTATTTGTGTATCGCTTTTCACAATACACATTGCTTCAAAGCAGCTTTATAGAAAGTCATGCTGTTATGTTTATAGTGCCTTAGTGCGTTACCATAGATCAAGTTTTAGAGCTGTGCGATGTGACAATATAAAACAATGATGCAAGTGATCCTCAAAAGTAATTAAGGATATAGATAATGTTCAGTTTTTTTATACTCAAAATGCATCAATGAAGATATAATCAGTTGTCTTAAGTGAAAAATAGTTGTAAAAGAGTCTGATGTGAGTTTAACATTTTCCAACATGTTTCTAGCTTTTTGACAACTTTGAAATCTGAAATTTGTACACACACTGGCAGCGTCACTTGAATAAGGTCTATGCAGAAATATCATTGATGCCACTTGATTTATGAGGTATATAAGATTTAATTTTGTACATAAGAAAGATAATTTTTACTGGAATAGAAGAGAAAAAAAAATAAAATAAAAAAAAATAAAAAAATACAGTCATTCGATTCACTATTGTGGCTTGCCACCTTGAACTTTAGCACACAAGTACAGACGTTTCTGGAGTGCGATATCTTTGAGTTGTGCCAGCCAAAGCATGACAATTCTCATCCGATGTGCAAGAACAGAGAAGGCTTGTATAGAGAAGACATGCAGGTGACTTGATGGGGCAAATAGGGGTTAATGCGAAGAGATCTGGATGCCAAATTGTATTAACCTTCAGGAGCACCACAGCTCAACGTGTAGGAGCATGAGCACTTACCACTAGGGCTCGGCTTCAACAAAACTCTCATCAAAAATGGATTCAGTAAAAAAAACAAAAAAACAAAACCAAACTCCAAGCATCCAAGTCTGTCTTAACCTAATTCGGATAGTGAGTAAGTACATAACTGGTACACTTAAGTATGAATTCTAAAGTCGCCACCTTAATGGCAGGTAATGCTCCTTTATTTGTATGCATGAACTGAAATTGTTTTTGGATAAAAAAAAAGTGTGTTTATGATTACTGATCATTCACCTCATCATCCAAATTGCTGCTCTCTTGAATGACTCGGATCCATGACAGCATTTCCTCACGATCTTCCGCCTGGAACAGGTATTCACAGTCTGATGTTGTCAGCCGAAGGACGTTCTTCCGCTTTGTGTCGCTGTAGGAGATGTCAATCAGACAGGCTTTGATGCTGATTGGCAAAGGCTCTTCTTCAATCTGGGAGTTGGCGTTGGTTTGTCCGTCCCTCTTGTCCTTGTACACGTAGAGGCAGTGGCCACGAAGCACAGCGTATATCTGCTTCCATGACCGCATGCCACTGCCAACACGCTGTAGAAAAGACAACAGAATTATGAAAATTTGATTGAATAAACCATGTTTGAAGTTAAAATCGCAAATATACAATAGCTGTTCTCATTAATTTAGAGGTTCAAAGACTCGTTGCAACACGTTTACAATATGACAAGGACTCCTACAGCATAAGAGACCAGCATGCTCTGAAAACACCTTCATTCCGTACTGGGACCCAGCACAAGAGAAATCATGAATGTGAATTTTGGTGTTTAGTGGTGGTGTGTACCTTTCCCTTATCTGAGTTGAGCTGCCGGAAATGAAGTGGACCCTCCTTTGTGGCATCAGTGAAGACATCTGAAGTAGAGTCCTCAGAGGATCTGTCAACAGCCTGAAACACACCAAACATGGATCAGCCAGGATTCACCCTTTTTGAAAACTGCCATTGAAAACCCTATGAGATGCTTTATCAGTTTGGTAACTGGAAGACCACTGAGTTCAATAGTCAGTAATCAAATTGAACAAGAAGGCAGATTATTAAATGTAATCACAAGCAATGCTAAAAGACAGAACATTTGCTCTGAATAAAGGGTTCATTTTAATTAGGAGTGTCAATCAATTAAAATTTTTAATCAAATTAATCATGTTGATTAATGAATCAATAACATATATCGATATTTGCTGCTGAAAGAAAATAATTATAATAAAGATAAATAATAATAAAGACAATAAAGAATAACTAGTTGATACTCCAAAATATTGTCAGTACTGCACTTTAACGCTGGTTTGCCACCCATCATAAAAAAAGAAGAAATACAAAGACAACGCAATGTGCAACTGCAGTACTACAGCCACACAAAATAATGTCGGAAATTATGTCAGATGAAAGCAATTAAGGCACTCTTGAGTCCTCATCTCAAAAAGCGGGAGTTTTGAAAAAGACAGTGTTTTGGAAACTCTCTTTCCATCTCACTACAATCATTTTAAGTGCCATTCATTTACCAAAAAATATATATATTTTTTTTTATTATGAACTTGCATACAGGTCAGGGTGCACAATTAATATTTTAACAAGAAATGACAAAATGATCATTAAATTGACAGACTTAATGTTAGCTGGAGATCAGATGCCAACAGGACATAACTTTATCTAAGGTGTGTGTGAACTAGTAATAATTTGTCATGTTTTATCTTCATTACAGCAGTCTCATTTACCTTTCTAAGGCCCTTGAATCCATGGGTGTGTTTAATCGACCGCCTGTACAGACACAGTAAACAGAGAGGTCATATAGTGCAAGAGGCAGCAATAGAAGATGACTGACTCTTCAACCTTGTGGTCACTGTACAGGTAGCTTATGACTTCCTGTCCTGACTGTAAACGTACTCTCTCTCTTCTTCTCTGTAGTTATCCAAGCCCTCATCAAAGGATCTGGAACGCTCCGTTTTAGCTCCAGAATCTGATTCCATAATCGTGAGTCGTAAAGAATCTAGGTTGAAGATATTGGAGAACTCACGGTTAAAAACAAAAGCACATTTATGATGCAACTGAGATATTGTAAGTGTTGGCAGAGATGTTCTTCACCCTGGTCGTGGGACAGTTGTCGGCGTATTACGGGAGAAGGGAACGTTGGACTGGGTGGGATGGTGGTGATGACAGGCGTGCTGGAAATCACGGCAGATGCAGGAATATGTGTGGTGTCACGGTTGTTACTGGAGCTTGACGGCTCGTCTGATAACAACAGACATGAGAGACACTCATAAGATTATCTTTGTTCTATATGGATTTATGTAGTGCAATAGAGACAACAGAATCAGACAGTCTGGAGGAAACATGCTTACTCATAAAGCTAGAAAGTAGTGAGCATTTATTAAACCGATAAGCCTCCCACTACACAGACAACACACAAACTCTAGGGCAGACAGATTGCATCACTGGGTAAAATATTACATTTTAACCACATAATTTCTCATAGTGATTGCTCTCCCTGCACTCTCTGTATAATACACTAATAAACTTTAGGCAGTGATGCATATGCGGTATTCATTGGCATATTATTTACAATTCTATAACTTGACTTTAAACTTCATGCATGATAATTCATCAGTTTGAAAGCCTAGATATGTAAAACCCAGCACTGTTGACTGGCTCTGTATCACAATTTTTTTTTTAATCTTATCAAACATAAAACATGATCTATTAAATACAGTCTACCAAACCAAACCCAACACAGTCTACCACAGTTAAATATTAACCACACCATAACAAAAGTAACAGTTTATCAAAAAAAAATTTTTTTTAAAGTCTATAAAACCAAACCCAAACCAAAGTATATCAAATTAACGTCAAAACAGTCTACCAAACAAAACACATTCTACCAAATCAAAAAAAAAAAAAAAATAGAGACTGGCATCTCCGTAACTAATCCAAAAAAAAGAGAGCAATCTTTGAACGAGTTTCCATTGGCATGTTCCATTACTTTGTCATATCACTTTACTGCCCTCTTGTTTGTGTGAGGTTTCTGAGCTGTGGACGAACTGGAGGGAGTGTGAAAGTGTCAGGGAATGGCAGTCCAAGTGGCTTCCTCAGTCCCGCTGCCTTGGGTGGAATGTGTCAATATGTCACATTATCTGTGCCCCTGTGGACTATGATGTCATGTCCTATCACTGTACTGGTGTACATTACAGTTTAGAGATGCTCCCAGTGACTCCATGAACCCATGAGCTCCATGAACACTCTTGAGCTACAACACGGTCTAGCTGCATTCCAAATCTGGTGGAGTATGGAACTGTTTCTTAAGAAGCACAACCATTTGTGATGGCCTATCACAAACTGAGATGTCTACATGTAGGACATACCTAGGGCATCTCTAGGTATGTCTGTAATGTCTAGAGATTGGCCAATATTGTGAGGAAGACTGATGACTTGAAATACACAAAACTGCTTTTTTTTTAAAAGCTCCTCTCTCACACACACAGACATTAATAGAACTCAGATTACTCTTTATTCCTCTCTGCTTAACTTTGTTTGCTTTGGGTTGAGCTGTTCATCCTGCTGTTATTACTATTTATCATCATAAAAACCCACTCCTGTACACCATTTGCTCTAAAGCTCTCTATGCAAAGTCTGGGCCATTAGGGATGGAGAAACAGTGTGGCCTTTTAAATGAGTTATCTGAGCAATAAAAAGCAAATTCATCAAGTCCTGACTTGAGTGGAGTAGACAATGACTTCCTTGTTTTAAAAGTCAGGGGATAAAGTTAAGATGTTTAGTTTACTATGAATAATATAAAACATACAACAATGTCCTCTCAGCTGCTTAATGTGATAAATAGAGATCCAACAGGAACACATTCTGACAACCGCTTTGGTAAACACACAAGCTACATTAGATAATAATGAAACAAGCAAACAGCCAAAAGATATGCAGTTTGCATATGCAAATCCATTTTGAATATGTCAAAGTCTACACATTTATGTATATACAAAATATACTTTTCTGAATTTGGAATGCTTTTATCCAGAGACTTGTACAGTGTGTACATTTTATCATTTCACGCATTTTCTCTGAATCAAATCCATGACCATAGTTTTGCATGTGCCACTTCTGCTACAGGACAAAATAATTTTTTTAACTAAGGTAAAAATCAAACACGCACACACACACACACACACACACATAGACACACACACACACACACACACACACATATATATATATATATATATATATATATATATATATATATGCCTGATAATGTTATCAAAACTCATCTCCCTTTAGTGTAGACTGAACAGTTGCTATAGCAACATCATCCATAGTTATCTAGCTGAAAGAACTCTCACCAATGAAGGGAATGGAGTCCAGGGAGTCATCAAGGTTGCTTGAGAAGGAGGTTTTACACTGGTCTCCTTGCTTCCTCATGTGCATTTCTTGTCTGGTATTGTTGGGCAGCCAGCATGTGTTGGAGTCTGCAGGTGGTTCAGCCCCTCTTTCCATCTCGTTCACTGCCATGATGTAGGAAGGGTGGCGGATAGGTTGAGATCCAGACTTCTTTTCCCTCCGAACCACAACTACAGTGGCATCTTGGCCCTCAATACCCTCCACCGTCTTCTCGTTGGCGTGGGTTTGTGGTTCTGTGTACCTAGGTTGCTGAGGAACTGTTCCGTTACTGGTTAATATGGGCTTGGATCCACCCTGCTTTGTTCTATGGGGTTTAGAGGCGGCAGAACAAGAAGAAGAACGACCTCCATGAGCTACCTCTCTGATAGGCTCCTGAAGGCTGTCAGCCCGCCCCCTGGGCTGTAACTGCTTTGCATTGTGGGGCATGTGGTTGGCAGTGAGAGGTGTTCTTTGGTCTTTGATGGGGCATGTGCTGGAGCTACCAATGATGTGGCATTGTATTGAGGCCAGGGCAGAAGCTATATAAGAAGCAGCAGCAGTAGAAGGGTCTGAGACATAATTTTTCGCAGGTAGCAGTGAGGGTCTGATTATGGAGGGTGCAGAGGTATTACCCAGGCTTTCAGCTCTGGAAGTGAGCAAATAATCTGTACCTCTACTAAAGAGAGGGGTGATGGGCAACCCTGGGTAACTACCCCCTCGTCTGTCTGCATTAAATACACCCTGTGTTCTGTGAGGCGCCATCCGTAAGGAAGAAGCATGTCTGCTTGCTCTTGCCTCGTCCCCTCTGTGCACGAGTAGCCACTCATCTGTCGCAGTTCTGCAGCATGCCTGCCTGTCCAAAATGAATGTGGCATTCTCATTCTGTCTGCTCAGGTAGCTGCAAGAATACGCTCTGGGTTTCGGGATACCTATGGGGGCTGATGGGAGGGCATCCTGGGAAGCACTACGAGGCCAATTCTGTGCTAGAGAAGCCCGATCGGCACCACCAAGCCTCTCCTGAGAGGCGCTACGCAGCGGCAGCACACTGGATACCTGATAACTCCGATCATGTGAGGCGCTCCTCCGTCTCAGCTGTGATCCAGAAAAGCCCCGTGAGGGC